CCCGTGCCTGCGCGGGCGGGAGGGAGGGAGGGAGGGAGGGGAGAGATGGGAGGCCTCTGAGGCAGGCCGAGCGCACACCCTGGCCCACGCCTGTGCTCCCTGGTGGGTGCTCCTCCATCCAAGACCATCCGGCTTCGCTGACAGGGACCTCTGACACCTCCTTGCGTCTCAGTGTCTACACTGCAGGGTGGGGAACGCCCGGCCTGCGGGCCGTGTAAGGCCCACAGATCCTTTGGTCTGGCCCTGCCGAGGCCTCAGCGGTGAGCTGGTTAAATGTTCGACCGGACAGAGCAGGCTCGTCTTTAAGTGGATAATTTTGTGTGGCCCTCGCAGGACAAAGGTTCCCCGCCCCCGGACTAGACAATGCCCAGGGATGTGTCTCTTCCAGCACCAGGAGGGCCCTGCACTGGGGAGCCGCCCTCTGGGCCCGGTATGCACAAGCCCACACAGCCCCCAGCTGCTTATCTCGTGTGGGGACGCCTGTGGCCTGCTGAGCTGTGGCCACGCCCGGTCTCGCCCCGTCACGCGTCAGGGCACAGGCGTCCTCTCCCGCCGGGCGCCAAGCCTCCTGCCCTCTGAGTCCCTCACACACAGTCACGCAGGCGGGTCTGACCGCAGCTGGGGCGTCACCAGCTCCACAGCCCGTGGGGGTTGACGGCAGGACCAGGCTCCGAACCGGAGCCCAGATGTTGTGTCTCCTGCACACTGCACCCCAGCTACACATCTGGCTCCCCACCCCCGGGACCGCGGACGGCACAGCTGGGACCGCAGCTGGGAGTGACTGTGCCACTTGCTGAGCTTGAGGCAAAGACGTGAGGACCCGCAGCTGCTGGTGGGGACGGAGGCAGCGGCGGGTCCCCTGGGGCAGACGACGCCCAGGTACCAGAGGCCTCCTGGGAGCCTGGGAGGCCATTACTTTGTGGCCTGAATGTCTTTTCCGTCAAAGAAACCTCTATAGGTTGGGTTCTAAAACACCCTACTATTCGCAACAGGCACGCAGTTTACCAATGAGATGCAGACTGAAGCTCAAGGTGCAATGATGATTAAAATGGTTTTATAAGATTTACAAGATATACTATTCTAAATATAAAACAAAATGACGACCCTGGTCTTGTTTCAAAATAACACCAGAGCCCAGCCAGTGTGGCTCACTGGATAGAGCATCAGCCTGCGGACCAAAGGGTCCCGGGTTCAATTCCTGTCAAGGGCATGTACCTTGGTTGTACGCTCCTCCCCAGCCGGGACCCTGGTTGGGGCTCATGTGGGAGGCAACCAATCAATGTGTTTCTCTCACATCGATGTTTCTCTCTGCCTTTCCTTCTCTCTCCCACTCTCCCTAAAATCAATGGAAAAATATCCTCAGGTGAGGATTAACAACAACAACAAAATAACAAAAAATAACACCAGAGTGCCTGGCCAGTGTGGCTCAGTGGTTGAGCATCGACCTATGAACCAGGAGGTCAGGTTAGATTCCCAATCAGGGCACATCACATGCCCGGGTTGTGGGCTCAATCCCCAGTGGGGGGCGTGCAGGAGGCAGCTGATCAATGATTCTCTCTCATCATTGATGTTTCTCTCTCTCTCTCTCTCTCTCTCTCTGTCTCCCTTCCTCCCTTCCTCTCTCTCTGAAATCAATAAAAACAGACTTTAAAAAACTGAATTAAAAAATAGTAACAGGCGTGTGAGGGACGCTCTGTCCGCTGCTGCTGGAGGCAGCTCCTTGGACAGAGGACGTGTCCCCGCGAGTCGGCCTGTCTGCTCGCGCCGATGCCAGACAGCTCCGGAGAGCCGTTCCTGCCTCCTGCAGAAGCAAGCCCCCGCGGACGCTAGCTCACGCTCGGATGGCGGGATGACAGGACGGATGGATGGTCCTGTTGCCACCAACGGCACGAATGACCGGTGGTCGGCCTGACCGAGAAGCCGGCCACCAGGCCCCTG